AGTGGGTTTGCTGCATTAAACATGCACTACTTCATTAAATGAAGCCTGGGTCCCTGCTATCACGTGATGATCTGACTTTAATGCCTTGGCCGTGATTTTGTTCGGCCTCGGCCTCGGCCTGCGCTTGAGGCCGAGATGATCATGCCTTAGCATTTCTTCTTTTGTCTTTAGGAAGGCGAAGTACCCTAGCGAAACGCTGCATTTCAGTTTTTACGAACAAGTGCCAGGGCCGAGAGAAAGGGCTCCTTCGGCCAGCTTATGGCCGTGATATATTAGGCACAAACACATACCAGGTCTTCCCATCTTCATCAAACTGCCAAGTCGTGGGACTCAGCAGATATGGCTCCTTGGCTTTGGAAGGGCTGCAGTAAGGATCACTAGAGCAGGATGAAATGAGGAAGGATAAAGCCCAGAAATCGAAGGAAGGCTCCAGAGTGTTTAAAAAGAGAAGAAAGAGGGCTGAGAAAACTGGGGGAGGTCAGTGTAAAACTTTCGAAGAACATGAACTCAGAGATTTTGGGAGTGTGAAGAAAATGCGACGGAGTTTGGGTTTTTATACTCATGCTGGAATTCAAAACGAAGAGGTTTGATCCGCGTGAAACGAAACGGCCTAGTAGCGCACCCAGAGCACGCGAGATTATGACAGAAACCTGGCGGCCGACGTTTCGATTAGCAAGGCGAAATGATGGCTCGTGCGAATTAAGAGCGCAAGGGCGTGTCAAAATCCCAGAGACCGTCGTTTCACTTGACGAGGCTAAGCGACGCCCTGGGCAATAATGACCTGCACGACGTGCTTGAAGCATTAAATGCGCCCACTGACCTGCGCATTTAATGCCCCAGTTGTCAATCACTTCAGAAGGAATGCAAAGGGTCCATCCCTTGGAATCCATTCGGCCCCTACCCATGCCGAGACCGAAGAATCCAGGGATGTGGGGGCAATGTTTGTACCTAATAAATCACGGCCATGAATTGGCCGAAGGCGCCCCTTTCCTCGGCCCTAGCACTTGCTCGTAAAAACTGGAACGCAGCGTTTCGTCAAGATGTTCGGCCTTCCTGAAATCAAAAGAAGAAAAATGCTAAGGCATGATCATCTCGGCCTTGATCGTAAGCCGAGGCCGAGGCCGAGCAAAATCGCGGCCAGAAGTATTAAAGTCAAATCATCACGTGATAGCAGGGTCCCATGCTTCATTTAATGAAGTAGTGCCTCTGTTTATTGCAGCAAACCCACTGGCCACGAATAAACATTTAATGCACGAGAAGGTGGGAAGTGACTGAAGTCAGAATTTGGTGATGGGAGTCAGAGCGATTAGACGTAGACATTCTCACAAGAATTCTTGCAGCTTGAGAGATTAGGTCACCAGCTATCAGAACAATAAATGCGTCTCCACGGCCAGTTGCGCAGAACCCACGATCAAGGGCGGCGGCCGAGATTCACCGGGATTCATGGGGTCACACCACCATACTTCACGATCCCAAATGTCGATTAGACTGCCCACTTGCTCTAATCAGACTCCACTATGGTAAGTCTCAACCAAAAGCTCTAAACAAGAAAAGGGGTTGTGCACAAATCTGGAAAGCACCAGAAGCAGTCAAACTTCACACTATCAGAGAGGTGAGATATGAAACCATGACATATTCAATAAAACACATGTTGTTTGGGAAATTGAAATGTGCTGAAGACAAGGAAACAGACAAGCTAATTAATCAATTGAGCAAAGGCCAATGGACTGTCTGAGTGTGACATGTTTCTGAAAGTCCAAGGCCTTGGTGGGTATATCTGAAAGTTGTTTTTCAGAAGGAACAAACTCTAAGGTTAAAATTTTGTCTTCCACAAACTCTAAGGTTAAAATGATGCCTTATGTCTATATGCTTTGTTCTAGAGTGTTGAACAGGATTTTTAGAGATATCTATGGCACTCAAGTCGAGTGCAGCAACTCCCAGCTGCAACATACTCTGCTTCAGCAGTGGATAGTGAGACAGAGTTTTGTTTTTTGCTATGCCAAGCAACAAGGTTGTTGCCTACATAAAAGACCCCCCCGGAAGTACTTTTCCTATCATCACTACAACCTGCCCAATCGGCATCACTATACCCAACAAGATTGACACAAGTGTCATAGGTATACCACAACCCAAACTCAACAGTCCCACTCACATATTTATGATTCTCTTAACAGCAAACAAGTGAGACTCTTCTGGATCACTTTGAAATCTAGCACACACACCAACACTAAAAGAAATGTCTAGTCTACTAGCAGTCAAGTAAAGAAGACTACCTATCATGCTTCTATAGAGAGTTTGATCCACATTTTTACCAAGCAAGTCCCTATGAATTTTAGCACTAGTGCTCATTGGAGTTCTTGCAGATTTTGCACCCTCCAACCAAATTTTTTCACAAGATTTTTTGCATATTTAGATTGAGAAATAAAGATCCCATCATGGCTTTGTTTGATTTGAAGACCTAAGAAGTAGTTAAGCTCACCCACAAGACTCATTTCAAATTCACTAGTCATGACATGAATAAACTCTTGAACATGCAAATCAGAGGTAGAACCAACCACAATATCATCAACATACACTTGAGCAATCAAGACATCCTTCTTAAATCATTTTGAAATCTTTTGACAAACAATGTTTTGTCAACCGACCCCCTAACATATCCATTTCCTAGAAGATGAGAGGATAACCTCTCATACCATGCTCTAGGAGCTTGTTTCAAACCATAGAGTGCCTTTTTTAAACGAAACACATCATTTGGATGATGGGGATCTTCAAAACCCTTTGGTTGCTCAACATAGACCTCTTCATTTAAAATACCATTCAAAAAAGCAGTTTTGACATCCATTTGATAAAGTTTGAATTTCAAGTGACAAGGCAAGGAGTAATCTAACAGATTCTAATCTTGCAACAGGGGCAAACGTTTCATCAAAATCGATGCCTTCCATTTGAGTGTATCCTTGAGCAACCAATCTAGCTTTGTTTCGGACCACATTACCTTGTTCATCAGTTTTATTTTTGAAAATCCACTTAGTGCCTATGACATTTGTGTTAACTGGTCTAGGAACAAGGTACCAAACATCATTTCTCACAAATTGATTTAATTCTTCCTGCATT